CCGTGGGGGGAGGGGTCTTGTGGGGGTCACGTGCCAGGTGGATCCCCCTGGGGGGAGGGGGCGTCCAGGGGGTCACGTGCCAGGGGGATCCCCTGGGGGGAGGGGGCTCCAGGGGGGTCGCTATGGGGGAGGGGCTGATACAGGCCCGGGTCACTCACCGCCTCGGCCGCCGGCTCAGACCCAACCGCCGCCTCCCCAGACAGGGCCCTGCCCCCCAGCGCCGCGCTCCGCTCCCATTGGCTGCCGACCAACCGCCGCCGGCGAGCCATTGGCTCGAAGCCTTTGTCTGTCGCAAGCGTGGCCCGCCTCCTCCGCCCAAGCCAGCGCGGCCATTGGTGTTCTAGGCCGTCCATCAACCGCCGGGCCGTAGTCCCGCCCCTCGCCGTCCAGCACTCAGAGTTGCCATTGGGTCCCCATTGGCTGCCAATCCCCCCCACAGCCTCGGCCACTCAGAACCCGCCTCTTTCATCCAGCCCAGCTCGATCATTGGCTGTTCTTCGCCGTCAATCCCCATGTAGCCCCGCCTTTTCGAGGGGAAGGGATGGGCATCCCGGGAGCCTGGAGCTGTAGCGCGAGGCCCTCTAGTGGCTGTTCGGCGCATTGCACCCGGAGTGGCCCTTGGAGCTCCAGGCGAGCGCTGTGGTGCGCAGGGTTGTGAGTTCGAGCTACACGAAGGGCCGCTCCTCTAAATCCCTGTCCTGACTCCCTGGGCTGGGCAGCAAAGCGGGATCAAAGCATCAGCCTCGGCGGCGCGATAGGGTAAGAGATGGCACCCCCAGCTAGCAAACCCCAGGGAGAAGGAGTTTCCCACTGGGAATTCCCAGGGCAGCACAGAGCTGGCTAAGCCAGGCAATCCTGTCGCCCTATCACAGGCCCATTGCGTGCACAGAGATCTGAGCTTTCTTTAGTGCAGACCCATTTACACACGGCTGTCGGGAGTCAAGCCGTCACGACCGCGTGTTAACAGACCCCAGGTTAAGAGGGTCATGCTGGAAAAAGTGTCTACGATTCACTTAGAAAAAAATGCCTTTATTTTCTGCTCTTTCATGCTCGCATTTTTTTCCTTTCTTATGAAGTCTGTCATTCGCCGCAGATGAATGATTTCGATATTTTCCGCATTTTGCTCCTCCATAAAGCTTACAACAGTTTCTACAGCCCTAAGGGCTTCTGGGGGCGAAATTTTGACCTTTTCAACGACATCCTCCTCCTCGTCGTCATTGTCATTTAGGCCTGCGTTATTAGAATTCTCGCCATCGCTTTCGCGGTCCGACGTAGCCTCGCAGCCCGTTAATATTTCTTCCTTGGACAGAAATTCTGAAGTCAGGCAATCTTCATCCATCTCCAGCCACTCGGTAATGATTTCCGGCGACGTATCCAAACTAAAATGTTTTATCATTGGAAAGAGAAGTTTACCTTTATCCTCTTTTGTCTGCATGTGTGTTTGTAGGACGTCTTCGTCCCAAAATCCTTCATAGTCTGGCTCTGAATCCGTGCCACTGGTGGAGTTTTCCGAGTCTGAGCCACCTTTGACAGAAAAGGCATCACCGGGAGCCTTCATCCAGCAGTTTTCAATGGACTTTTGTTTTACTCTGTCCCAAGCTTTTTTAACTAAATAAATAATTTCCTTCATGTTTAACTGTTTCAGGAATTCGGAAATGCCTGAAGACGTGCATGACACAATCACCGAAATCGGCTCCCGACGATAATTGTTTTTAAAATTCTGAATAATGCCCTGGTCTCCAGGTTGAATTTTTGATGTTGTGTTGAATGGTAGGTATAGCACTCGAATTTTTCCGTCTGATTTTACCAGTGATTCGGCTGGAGGATGGGCTGGACAATTGTCAAGTAGCAAAAGTGCTTTGACTTTGAGTTTCTTCAACCGTAGATGCTTATGAACAGCTGGAACAAAGCTGTTGTGGAACCAGTCGTCGAAAATGTGTCTCGTCATCCAAGCATTTTTGCAGTTAGCGTATATTACTGGCAGTTTGACTCTATTGAGGTGATTAAAGCAGTGAGGGTTATGAAAGCCGCCAATGAGAAGAGGGGCAAGCGTATGGGTAAGAGTCACCCGATCTTTTATCTTTTGAAATCCAGCTGTTTTCTGTGTCTCGTAATTAAAGGCTAAAGTCTTATCAGGTAGCAGGTTTGCAAATAAAGCTGTTGCATCACAATTACAAAGTTGTTCTTCGTGGTAGTCTTCGTTTTGTAAAATAGATTTTAACACGGCGGGAAACGCGTTCGCAGCCGCGGCTTTCTCCCGAAATCGACACCTGCGCGATGCCATGACGCGTTTTAAACCGACTTGTAAACCCCTTGCTGGCTTGGAATGATTCATCCCCCGTTCAATGTCCAAATTTTGTCGCTTGGGCTTGAAGAATTGGCCCACTTAGCGGCATTCCTTTCGGCCTTTCCTGAGCAAACCACGTGCGCGTGGCTTTGTCTGTTGTGGGTTTTGCTGAATTGCGCACGCGTTTTCGCTTAAGCCCCGCGGCAGAATCGATATTTGGTACAGAGCCATTCAGTTTCGATTCGTTTTTTAGCCGTTCTCGGAGAGTAGATTCGGCAATCCCAATGTCTTTTGAAACTTTGGCCTGGGTTTCTCTGCTATTTACTCAATATATTGCAGCTAGTTTTTCTTCTACAGTGTAGGAACGCTGCCGCTTGCCCTCTGCTATTATATGAGGCCTACAGTTAAAATTTTCTAATGTAGTATATATACTGTATTACTATATAACTACAGTACTACTGTACATATTATATATCTCTCTAGCGTGACAATGACTAAGCGTGCGTGATACGTCTTTACCAATATCGGTAAAGACGTACAACACATTTCCGCTCCGCACTTCCTGTCGATTTCTGTGTCCGTGAGTTAGTGAGCAAATCTGGAGCGCTACATAGCAAGTTCCTGTACCTCATGTTAACGAGTCTCGCGTGTTAAATAGGTAGCACTGGGAGGCATAGCGCAACCGCGCTTTAAGCGGATTCGCATGTAAACGGGTCTGTACTGTAATAAGCCTCTCGCCTTCCTGGCGACGAGAAGACAACTTCAAAATGTGTAATGGATCCAGTGGCCTCTGCCTGAGTCAGCAGCCAGCCTGAAACAGGAGCTCTGGCCCAGCAGTCACGTGTGGGTTGTTGACCCTGAAACCTAATGACTGAGACGTAAAAAGGTCACAGTTCTTAACTATTTTGCTGCCGATTAAACCTGCACATCTGCACACCAGCGCTGTGGGAGTGACTGGGCAGCACTTAGGCTTGTAGATGGAGCTTGGGAGCCACCACTTTCCTCCCCCACCATTGCATTCCCTGCATCTCGGACACACACAAGGATGTCTTGGCTTCGCTGTGGCCGGCACAATATCTAGGCAATTTGCTAGGGAAATACCTCAGGTTGGAGGGCGATTCCCTTGGCAGATGCTGCTTCGGATTTGTCCCCATTGTGATCTGATCTATCATCTTTGCAGGGATCCCTGTCACCCTCAACCCCCACCACCCTCTTAAGAACATTAGAATGGCTGCACTGGGTTAGACCAAAGGTCCAGCTAGCCCAGTATCCTGTCTTCCGACTATGGCCAATGCCAGGTGCCCCAGAGGGAATGAACAGAACAGGTAATCATCAAGTGATCCATCCCCTGTCGCCCATTCCCAGCTGGCAAACAGAGGCTAGGGACACCATCCCTGCGCATCCTGTCTGATAGCCATTGATGGACCTGTCCTCCGTGAACTTCTCTAGTTCATTTTTGAACCTTATTATAGTCTTGGCCTTCACAACATCCTCTGGCAAGGAGTTCCACAGGTTGACTGTGTGATGAAATACTTCCTTGTGTTTGTTTTAAACCTGCTGCCTATTAATTTCATTGGGTGTCCCTTAGTTCTTGTGTTACAAGAAGGAGTAAATAACACTTCCTTATTTACTTTCCCCACACCAGTCATGATTTTATAGACCTCTATTTTATCCCCACTTAGTTGTCTCTTTTCCCAGCTGAAAAGTCCTAATCTTATTAATTTCTCCTCATACGGAATCTGTTCCATCCCCCTAATCATTTTTGTTGCCCTTCTCTGACCCTTTTCCAATTCCAATATCTCTTTTTAGAAATGGGGCGACCATATCTGCATGCAGTATTCAAGATGTGGGCGTACCATGGATTTATATAGAGGCAATATGATATTTTCTGTCTTATTCTCTATCCCTTTATTAATGATTCCCAACATTTTGTTTGCTTTTTTGACTGCCGCTGCACACTGAGTGGATGTTTTCAGAGAACTATCCACAATGACGCCAAGATCTTTCTTGAGAGGTAACAGACCCCATCGTTTTGTATGAATAGTTGGGATTATGTTTTCCCATGTGCATTACTTTGCATGTATCAACATTGAATTTCATCTGCCATTTTGTTGTCCAGTCACCCAGTTTAGTGAGGTCCCTTTGTAGCTCTTCGCAGTCTGCTTTGGACTTAACTATCTTGAGTAGTTTTGTATCGTCTGCGAATTTTGCCACTTCACGGTTTACCCCTTTTTCCAGGTCATTTATGAATATGTTGAATAGGACTGGGCCCAGTACAGACCCCTGGGGGACCCCACTATTTACCTCTCTTCATTCTGAAAACTGACCATTTATTCCTACCTTTTGTTTCCTGTCTTTTAACCAGACTTGCATCTGAAGAAGTGAGGTTCTTACCCACGAAAGCTTATGCTCCCAATACTTCTGTTAGTCTTAAAGGCGCCACAGGACCCTCTGTTGCTTTTTACAGATTCAGACTAACACGGCTACCCCTTTGATACTGTCTTTTAACCAGTTGCTGATCCATGAGAGGCCCTTCCCTCTTATCCCATGACAGCCTACTTTGCTTAAGAGCCTCTGGTGAGAGACCTCGCCTCAGAATTCACCCCTCCTTACACCTCTCTCTTGCTATTGGACCAGCTGACCCCCCAGCGCCCCTTAATCTTTACCTCCCATGCATGCAGCCACCCCTAATCTGGCTCTCTGCTGCAGGACACATTCAGATCCTTTGCAGGGGCATGTTCTCTGCATCACACTAGGAGGTGCACGGGCTCCAGGGACCCTGTTCCCTAGCAGGTTCCCCACCCTGCCTTCCCCCTCCTGCCCGCCCTCAGCAGCCATCCTCCCAGCCCCAGAGCAGCCCCGCTCCTCCGACCCCCTTGGAAAACAGTAGCCACTTTGGGGCAGCGGGGTCACACCAGGGCAGAGGGGGCAGGGCCGGGACATGTAGGGATCGGAGAGGCGGAGCCAGGGCTGCTGTTGGGGTCTTCTGGGCCTCACAGTTGGTGGACTGTAAAGGGGACTGAAGAAGGTCCCAACAAGGAAGAGGATAGTGGGTCTACAGCAGGCCAGAGCGTTGGGTGTGCGGACGCCGGGACGCTGCTTCTGGCCCAAGTCCCTTCAGTTGCTTGCGGGGGCGGGAAGGTTAGTGAGTCAGGCCGGTTTCTAACAGGATGGGTGTTGAGATCCCCCCAAATCTGCCAGTAGTCCCCAGTAGTGCAGGGCTGAGAAAGCTTCGCCGGAGGCCGGGCATGTCTGTCTGGGTATGTCCCTCCCAGCCGCCGCCCAGAATAAAAGCGGGCAGCCAGGGGGCTCTTCGACCTCTATTGCCAGCCCGAAAGGAGATCATTGCCCGGGGCACTGTCCCAGAGCCATGCAGAGGAAAACCCGATCAAACACACAACCGGCTGCTAGAACAACAATGCTGTTTATTAAACAGAAGGGAAAGGGGATAAGGGAGTGTTTCATTTCTTAATGAAAAATAACTCTCATAAACAAACCCTCAAAACTCATAACACAGAGAGAACAATCCCTCCCCCCCCCCCTATTGCAATAACAAAATCAGTTCAAACACGACGTTTATGCGTATTTTAGAATTCAGGCCTTTTTCTGACATGATTTTAAAACAAAACTCACATTTAAAAGTCTTCGTGATTCCTGTGATGTGTAAAACAAAATGAACAACACTTGGTTGGGAAAAGACGTTTCAAACAAAACAAATCTACTTAAGACAAAAGTCTTGCGCCCATCCGGCCCGACGGATGCTGCCTCGTTGACAAATGCTCAAAATTAAATCTCCGCAGGAGTTAAGCAGGACAAGGGCAAAACGATGAAACTTCCGGTTCTTTGGCACTGGTTCTCTTCCGACGGAAGTCATCGCAAGGCAGGGATACCAAAACCAGGCTGCGGTGGGGATTTAAAGAAACCAGGGCGACTTTCGACGTGGCTGCGTCAAATCCACCCTGGAATTTAAATGCGAACTAGGAAACAAACGGGGGAAAACTAAACTTCAATTCCAAGCCCCTTCTGGCTCCCTGGTGAAAGGTCCCAGGTTTTGTCCCAGGATGGAGGAGGTTTCTTCCCCTGCCGTTCACCGTCTCACTACGAAGCCAGCCGAGTTGCGCCCGCCTTTGCAGTAGAGGGACTGCTTCTCTTGATTGCGTGGGCAGTATTTCAGCGTGTGGGCACCGTCGCCCGTGGCACCGCACACCGGGCAGACGTAGTTGCGCAGGATGGGACACAGCACGGTTCCATCCGCTTGCTTCAGCAAGTGGGAGGAGTAGACCCTCTTGGATTCCCCATTGTGCCTGCAGAAGTTGCATATGAATCTGCCGGGCGTCTGAGGGGTGGCCGCCCCGTTCTGCCCACTTTGAGGACAGCTGCTGCCGTTGCTCCTGTTCCACCCCGATGACTTCGGGCTCGAGGCGTCCCCCGGAGACATTTGAAGGGAGGTCCCTGGCAGGCAGGGATCTGCCGTCTCACAGGTTAGGAGGCTCCTGGACCCCCTTCTGTGCTCCTCAATGATTTCGCCAAGAACCTTTGACAGGTTCAAGTAGTCCCGCCACATGTTGAAGTCATGCGCGATCGTGACGGGCGGAGAAGGTGGCCCGGAAAGCCAGACGGGAAGCATGGTGCTCATCAGAGAAGCCCCCTCCTCTGCAAAAAAACTCCTCGACCCCTGCTCCTTTAATAGGCTTGGCCTACAGTAGGCAGCATTGCGAGCAGGCTGCACTGTGCCCATCCAGTGCAAGGAGGTGGAGTCTGAGATTTAAAGGGCCAGAAATCAAAACAGAAAAGTATCCCCCGCCAGAGATTAATGAGCTAAATACACCTCTATCCCGATATAACGCGACCCGATATAACACGAGTTCGGCTATAACGCGGTAAAGCAGCGCTCCGGGGGGGCAGGGCTGCGCACTCCGGCGGATCAAAGCAAGTTCGATATAACGCGGTTTCACCTATAACACGGTAAGATTTTTTGGCTCCCGAGGACAGCATTATATCGGGGTAGAGGTGTATCAAGGGTCAGTTATAGCAAATCTACAGAGCATCAGATGCACCCCTCTTCTAGAAAACTGAATTTCATTTTCCCCTCCCTTCTGCTCCAGAAACTCATGTCCTAGTCGGGAGTAGCATATCCTCTATGAACGTATCTAGTTCTTTATTGAACCCTGTTATAGTCTTGGCCTTCACAACATCCTTTGGCAAAGAGTTCCACAGGTTAACTGTGTGTTGTGTGAAGAAATACTTCCTTTTGTTTGTTTTAAACCTGCTGCCTATTAATTTCATTGTGTGACCCCTAGTTCTTGTGTTATGAGAAGGAGTAAATAACACTTCCTTATTTACTTTCTCCAAACCAGTCATGATTTTGTAGACCTCTGTCATATCCCCCCTTAATCGTCGCTTTTCCAAACTGAAAAGTTCCAATCTTATTAATCTCTTTTCATACGGAATCTGTTCCATACCTCTCATCGTTTTTGTTGCCCTTTTCTGAATCTTTTCCAATGCCAATATATCTTTTTTTGAGATGGGGCGACCAGATCTGCATGCAGTATTCAAGATGTGGGTGAACCATGGATTTATATAGAGGCAATATGATATTTTCCTCTCTTATTATTAGGGCCCTACCAAATTCATGGTCCATTTTGGTCAATTTCATGGGTCATAGGATTTTAAAAATTGTAAATTTCATGATTTCAGCTACTTAAAAAAAAAAAATTAATGGCGATATCCTATCGCCTAGAACTGGAAAGGACCTTGAAAGGTCATCGAGTCCAGCCCTCTGCCTTCACTAGCAAGACCAAGTACCAATTTTGCCCTAGATCCCTAAGTGGCCCCCTCAAGGATTGAACTCACAACCCTGGGTTTAGCAGGCCAATGCTCAAACCACTGAGCTATCCCTCCCCTGAAATCTGAAATGTCATGGTGTTGTAATTGTAGGGGTCTAGACACAAAATGGAGTCGTTTGGGGGTCACAAGGTTATTGTAGGGGAGGGTTGCGATACTGCTACCCTTACTTCTGCACTGCGGCTGGCAGGGTACTGCCTTCAGAGCTGGGCACCTGGCCAACAGCCGCTGCTCTCCAGCCGCCCAGCTCAGAAGGCAGCAGCGCAGAAGTAAGGGTGGCAATATTACGACCCCTCCTAAAATAACCTTGCAACCCCCCTGCAACTCCCTTTTGGGTCAAGACCCCGAATTTGAGAAACTCTGGTCTCCCTCGTGACATCTGTTTAGTATAGGGTAAAAGCGCACAACGGTCCAGATTTCACGGGGGGAGACCAGATTTCATGGACCGTGACACGTTTTTCATGGCTGTGAATTTGGTAGGGCCTTACTTATTATCTATCCCTTTCTTAATAATTCCCAACATTCTGTTCGCTTCTTTGACTGCCGCTGCACATTGAGTGGATGTTTTCAGAGAACTCTCCACAATGACGCCAAGATCTCTTTCTTGAGTGGTAACAGCTAAATTAGACTCCATCATTTTGTATATAGAGTTGGGATTATGTTTTCCAGTGTGCATTACTTTGCATTTATCAACATTGAATTTCATCTGCCATTTTGTTGCCCAGTCACCCAGTTTGGTGAGATCCCTTTGTATCTCTTTGCAGTCTGCCTGGAACTTAACTATTGTGAAAAGTTTTGTATCATCTGCAAATTTTTGCCACCTCCCTGTTTCTCAATTGATTTTGGAATAGAGTGTGCAGACAGCGAGTTATTCTGGAACGCCTGCGTTATCCTGGAATTGCTATCGAGTGAAATAGTTATTCCAGAATAACTCCAAATCAGGGAAATATGCTGGAGTAAAGTGAGTTTGTTTTGGAATAGACCGTGGGGAGGAGAGGTATTATGGAATACCTGAGTTATCCCAGAATTCCCCATGTAGACAATGCCTAAGAAAAGACAGGGAAATTAAATGCAAAAAAGCGCCAGCATGAATGCAGGTTGAAACATCAAGCAATCAATATTAGGAAATTTGAGCAGTGAAATGTAGCCAGCTCTCATGATGTGTTGTCTTGTTTTCCTTAGTCAAGCGAAACAGTCCTGACCAGCTCATTGAAGTGCTAACGTTGCCAAGGAAAACCGGAATAGAAAAAAACACTTTTGCAGACTCACAGCGAGGGCCAGTTAGCTCTGTGGAGCCACCTCACATTTTGGAAAAGTCCAGTTTGGGGCTCAAGCCTGCAAACCCACATGTCTGCCAGCAGCCCCATTGACTTCAAAGCAAAGTGCGGCACTGGGGCCTTTGATTGTTTGGCATTTCAACCCTCCCCTTCAAGTAAGGGGAGGTGTCTTGCATTTCATTTCCCTGGTTGCTGCCCTCCCAGTGCTTCTTCTGCGCTACCCCGGCCTCATTCTGGTCTGGTCTATTTCCAGGGTCAGTTCTTTGGGTCAGAGACCTTTTGTGACCCTGTGCAGATCAAGTGCAATGGGGCCCCCATCTGGGTGGGGCCTTAGGCACGACCCTAACCAACATGATTAATCATAACCTGCTTTCGGGGCATTAATTGGGGCCTCTGATGTTTGTCTGTTTATGTGTCTATCGCACCTGCCCCGGTGCCACTCTGTCTGGAACAAGTTGGAAGTTTGTATCTTTCCCTGGCACCTCCCCTCCCTGGATGCTCTAGGGAGGTAAGTTACAGTCCCCTGAGGGCTGAGTGAAACTGACCAGAGCAGTTGTTCTCGACCTTTCCAGACTCCGGTACCCCTTTCAGGCATCTGATTTGTCTGGCATACCCAGGGGCTGCTCTATGTTTTTTGCTGCCCCAAGCACGGCAGTCAAGCGGCCTTCGGCGGCGTTTCTGCGGCTGATCTGCCAGTCCCGTCCCTTCAGCGTACCCAAATTGCCGCGGAAGCCACGGGACCGGCGGACCTCCCGCAGGCATGCCACCGAAGAATTCCTGACTGCCGCCCTCACAGCGACCGGCATGCCGCCCTCCGTGGCTTGCTGCCCCAGGCATGCGCTTGCTGCGCTGGTGCCTGGAGCCGCTCCTGGGCGTACCCCCAAGTTTCACCTCACATAAAAACGACTTGCTTACAGAAGCAGACCTCAAAATACCAAAGCATCCCAGCGTGCTATAACTGACCTGGTGCTTCCTTTCTCATTGCGCTCTTCATGTGTCAGTATCTAATGCCTGCATCTGCACTTTTCACTCCATGCAGCCGAAGAAGTGGGTTTTTTACCCACGAAAGCTTACGCCCAAATAAATCTGTTAGTCTTTAAGGTGCCAACGGACTCCTTGTTGTTTTTGTGGCTACAGACTAACACGGCTACCCCCTGATACTTGTGGCCGTAGGACAGTTTAGTTTGCACTGACTTCGCTCGTGCTGTTTATGTAGCCTGCCTGTTGTAAAACCAGGCAAATCTCTAGAGGAGTCGATGTACCCCCTGGAAGGCCCTGGTGGAGAAGCACTGGACCAGACTCAGGACATAGCAAAGGAGACGCAGACGGTTCGGGGCTGGAGGTGAATGGAGACAGCAGCTGTGCTGAGTGAGCAAGGGCTGCCATACCTGCTCCGTCTGGGCGGGTGGGGTGAAGCTCAACGTGTAAACAAGCCGGACAAAGTGCCCCCTGTGACGAAGTGGGAATTTTCTGTAATATGTTTATGAGGCCGATGCGTGCCTCAGTTTCCCCTGGTTACCCAGTGGAGGGCAAAGGGCTAAGTCTGCTCTTGGAGGGCAGTGCAGGACACGAGGCGAGGAGGGGGGCACACTGACGGGGTTCCTCCACGAGACGGCTTAAAAGCCGAGGCCTAGCACAGATCCCGTGGAGCCGTGACACACACAAACCCCCCCAGTCACTTGATCTGTGACCGTGAGGCTGGGTCAGGGCCAGTGAAAACGCAGGGGCGTGTGTGTGTCTCGCAGTTGGATTCTCCCCTGCAGATCCACCGGGAATTGCCCTGGTGCAGGGGGATAGAGCTGCTCACAGGGGTCTGCTGCAGAAGTGCATTCGCTGCTCTTCCTCCCCCAGCCCAGTGTGGGGATCCCTGGAGAGTAGCCCCGGACACCTGGGTTCTACGATTTGCAAGTGACCAGCCACCTGCATCCCCTTGAGAGCCAGGAAGAGCAGCTAAACAGGGTCATCTAACCCCCGCCCCCATCGGGCTTTCACGAGGGGCCTGATCCTCCCACTCAGGGCACCCCTGTCCTTGGCCTCCCTGCCACGGGCAGCTGGAGGGTCCCTCATTTCAGGGAGAGGCCCAGTGGGGAGTTCTAACCCCAGGAGATTGCTTGAGGAGCCGTGGAGGAACTACCCCCTCCCCAGACCCGGCTGGTCTGGATGCACATGGGATCCAAGGGTTGTGTCCGATTACAGGGGACTGGCACCTGTGCACTGGGGGGCCTGAGCCAGGGCTGGGCCATGCTGGGGGCAGCGTTGCAGCGGGCGAAGCTGTTTAAAGGTGTTTGTGAGGGACTGAGGCTTGGAGAGAGCAAGCAGAGGGCGGATCCTCTATTTGAATCGGGCCTCGCAGTTCATAAATCCGGCCCTGGATTTATGAACTGCGAGGCCCGATTCAAATACCCGGTGGCGGTCCGGGGCTTCGGCAGCACTTTGGCGGAAGGGGGTCCACTCCGGGGCTTCCACCGCACCAAAGACCCCCCGCTGCCGAAATGCTGCCGAAGAC